CCATCGAGAAGGAATGGCGGAGGAATTAGGAAAAATCCTAAGTTTGGCAGGATTGCCATCTCTAGGTACAAATTTTAATTCACAGAAAATAGATCCATCTTTGATAAAAAATTTAAGTGATGAAGATATGACGAGGTTGGGTGTGGCCACAATAGGGGACAGGATTCGTCTCCGGGAAGCGTGCAGGAGTTACACACATGAGCAGGTTCGTACTCATTAAATCTACAATTTCTCTGTATTTTCTTTTGATGACTAAATTATGCACTATAGATCATTACCGAAAATTCTACGGAAATCGGTAAAAAAAAGCTTCGTATCGTTTTTGGTAAATAGTATGCTTTCTGCACACATGCGTTTTTTTCTATTTGTCTTGCATGTCTATCGTACAATGGTCAAGTTTATCGAAAGGAAGCGCAATACACAGGAACCATCACTCTGTCCTTTTGTTACTAATTATTGCCCAGCCCATACTAAAAAGTTAAATGTAAGCCGTCCTTGCTCATGGTGAAGGTCACACTTAAAGGTTAAATAATAGCTGTGGTTGCTCTTGGTGAAGGTCATACTTAAAGGTTAAATGTAAGCTGTGGTTGCTCATGGTGAAGGTCACACTTAAAGGTTAAATGTAAGCTGTGGTTGCTCATGGTTAAGGTCATACTTAAAGGTTAAATGTAAGCTGTGGTTGCTCTTGGTGAAGGTCATACTTAAAGGTTAAATGTAAGCAGTGCTTGCTCTTGGTGAAGGTCATACTTAAAGGTTAAATAATAGCTGTGCTTGCTCATGGTGAAGGTCATACTTAAAGGTTAAATGTAAGCAGTGCTTGCTCATGGTGAAGGTCACACTTAAAGGTTAAATGTAAGCCGTGCTTGCTCATGGTGAAGGTCATACTAAAAAGTTAAATGTAAGCCGTGGTTGCTCTTGGCGAAGGTCACACTTTAAGGTTAAATAATAGCTGTGGTTGCTCTTGGTGAAGGTCATACTTAAAGGTTAAATAATAGCTGTTGTTGCTCTTGATGAAGTTCACTTAAAGTTAAAAGTAAGCCGTGCTTGCTCATGGTTAATGCTTTTTTACCCCATGCATTGAAGGATTTGCTCAATTTACACAATTTAGCACTAAGAAACTTTTGAGTTTTTTGTCCAGGTACATATTTTGTTATAACATAAGATATAGAACTATGAACTTTAATTATCATGTTGATAATTCGGCTTCAAATTTGTACCACTTATTCACGCAATCTGAGTGTTTAAACAGGATTTAAAATCTGACCTAATGACCTACTAACATAATGATTAAATAGGGCAATTATGGTGGATATTATGCTAAAGTACATAGTTACATGTACATGTACACAATCAAATACATACTCCTATGAATTTAAATTAACTTCTTAATAATAAATTGTTGATTCTTTTTGTACTATAATTATTTGGAGTAAAGAAGATAAGTTGTTTTTGCAGGAGATGGCAAAAATAAAGACAGAAACTTCTTCAGGTCAAAGTCAAGCAGATTATGAGCAAACCAAGTTAGGTGAGAAACTGTTTGTGTTGAACTTGATAGAGTACACACCTTGACATTTTCCTAAATATAAAACGCAAAACAAGAGGGCCATGATGGCCCTAGATCACTCACCTGACCCATCGAACTCATCCGAACAATTACCTAAACAAGCATTCTGACCAAGTTTTATGACAGGTGAGTCAAAAATGTGACCACTAGAGTGTTAATAGGGATTATCCATATTTGAGCAGTGTGACATAGTTTTTTACTAGCAAGCTCATGTGAGCTAAAAAGCTCTTAGGGGGGCAGGGGACATAAACATGAACAATTTTGTATTTCAGTGTGGCCAGACACACTATTTCAAATATTTCAAAATCTGTTTGACAGGCAGATAACCATGTGCACAGAATTATTCAATGATATATGACATACATTGAAGAAAATAATAGTTTGCATGCATTGCTCCTTAAAAACATGACTGACAGCAATTTATGTTTACCCCCACCCAGCCAAAATCACACCTAAAATATACCAATATGGGCAATTTTCATGAAGGTGCAGCATACTCTAGAATCCGCCCGATTCCTTTAAAAATATCACTAACACACAGTGCAATCAATGGCATTTTCAAACAAGAGGGCCATGATGGCCCTGAAATCGCTCACCTGTATATAGGCCCCCGGGGCGGGGCTTTTATTTGAACAAACTTGGAAGACACCCATTTGAAGATGTTTCATAAAAATATCTAAGCTCTAGCTGTAAGAAGATTTTTTTAAGTTTTTACTATACACATACAGGGAAAAACAATGACCCCTCCCCCTCTGGGCGGGGCCACTTTTGTCCCCAGGGCTTTTATTTGACCAAACTTGGTAGTCACTCACTAGAAGATACTTCATGCTTAATATCTAAACTCTAGCTTTTTGGGTTTTTTAAAAGAAGATTTTTTAAGTTTTTACTATATACATATAAGGAAAATCAATAATCCCTGGGGCGGGGCCAATTTTGACCCCAGGGCCTTTATTTGAACAAAAATGGTAGACAACCATAAGAAGATGTTTCATGATAAATATCTTAGCTCTATCTTTTATAAGAGTCTTTTAAAAGAAGATTGTTTTAAGTTTTTACTATATACATATAAGGAAAATCAATGATCCCCGAAGCGGGGCCAATTTTAACCCAAGGGCCCTTATTTGAACAAAAATGGTACACATCCATTAGAAGATGTTTCATGCTAAATATCTTAGCTTTAGCTCTTAGGGTTTTTTAAAAGAAAATTTTTTAAGTTTTTACATAAGGGGAAAAACAATAACCTTCTGGGGCAGGGCCAATTTTGACCCAAGGGCTTTTATTTGAACAAACTTGGTAGACACCCACTAAAGATGTTTCATGCTTAATATCTAAGCTCTAGCTATTTGGGCTTTTTAAAAGAAGATTATTTTAAAGTTTTTACTATATACAAATAAAGAAAATCAATGAACCCCCGGGGCGGGGCCAATGTGTCTACCAAGTTTGTTCAAATAAAAGGTATATATGAATAAAGTTTCTATGCTAATCATTAACTACATAACAATGTATTTTTCATATATTGAACAAAACATGAAAACATTGAAAATAATGTTAGACTCATAATTGAGCAAAAGTGGTATTAATGGAACCTAAATGGGCATAAATGTAACACAAGTAAAATGTAAAACAATTCAACAGAAAATAGAAAAAGACATATCAGCTGTAGATGTGAATTATGGCAATTTCAGCAATAATTAAATGCAAATTAAGAAATAAATTCATGTAAATTAAAAAAATAAATTAATGAAAATTAGGAAATAATTTCAAGTAAATTAGAAAATAATTTAATGTAAGAACTAAATATCATGTAAATTATGAAATAACAAAATGTATTTCACAGATTTTGATAATTTTTAATCTGAAAGAACATGTAAATTCATGTAAATTAAAAAAATTAATTAATGAAAATTAGGAAATAATTTCAAGTAAATTAGAAAATAATTTCATGTAAGAACTAAATATCATGTAAATTATGAAATAACAAAATGTATTTCACAGATTTTGATAGTTTTATATCTGAAGAACATGTAACCACTACCCTGTAAAAAAATTTAAATGGACTAGTACAACTTCTTGGAACAGTCCATTATCAAGCTTTCCAGAAATTTGTAGTTGGTCTTGTATATTTATTAATACTTGAAATTGAATTCTAGTTGGTTTGACGTAATTAATGGTTAATATTGCACCACAAACTTTGAGTATAGCACAATTGTATAGATGAGTATTACTCAATTTTATCACATAAAATACAGCGCAAGACTTCAAGCACCACGCCTCCAGATTCATGCTAATTTTCATGAAAATTCTGATTAATGTATTTGAATGTGTAATATTCTGAAGTAATCAAAAGAAAGCAATTTACACATTATCAATGGCGTTTACAAACCACGTAAATTACCAAAAAGTGTTCAAAATATGCATAAATAGCCTTTACTGCGTTTGTTACACAGTAGAAATATAGTTGTAAATACTCATTTATCACTCATAATATGTAAAATATTACTTGAATCCTGAAACTTTTTACTTCTCCTTAAATTTTAATACAATTTTCTCAAGTTTGATTTTATTTTGAAATATTTTTACTCATCTGGAGGCATGTAGCTTTAAAGCCATTTAATAAAAACAATATCACACTTTATGTACAAACATAGCGTTAAAGTGCACTAATGTTAGCATTACAATATGGGAGCGTCAATGAAAAATGGCTCTTTTTAATTGTAAACCGTTCTTATTTTGAATATGTGAAAAATAGAATATCACCATGTAGATTCAATACTCAATTTATTAACTTGTTGAATAAAACAATATTATGCTTGCCAGAGGTTCGCATAATTTGAGTTTATTCAACTTGTTCAATAAATTTAGTATAAACCTACACTCACTCAATATCCTCTATATAAAGGCACTTGATGGTTTATTAATATAAAAATAATGCAGCTGTTCCAACATGGAATGATAGTGTATGTTGGAACTGTGTGAATATGGATTTTGTTTGTTACTCACTTGCGTATTTCACTAGTCAAACACCAGTGACCAATTCTAGCACCGGTTAGATAAAATTGTACATACATGTACCATATACAAAATATATTTATGAAATTCCAAAGAAAATTTTCTTAAATTTTTCTTTCGTTTCTTGTGAATTGTTGAAAAAAAAATGCATGAATTTCTCGCAATCACTGATATACATGTACATAACAAAATTTCTAAACGTTAACGGTGTAAAACACACAAATTTTTGGAGGGTGGGGGAAGGGTTTCTTGAGATTGACAACCAAGTTTTATTTCATTAAAATAAACTTCAGCATTAAATTCAAACTCAATGCTGGAAAGTCATAATTCATAAATCAAACTTTGATAGTAAAACAAAAAGTATCATTTTCATCTTAAAAAGGCAATTTTGTGGGGTTGTAAATTCATGGAATTCAATTGTAAGAAAATACGGGGCCAAAAATTTGTTGGTTTCAATACAGTAAACAATTTTACACTATAAATGTTTAGAAATTTTGTTGAGCATATAGTGAGATATACATGTATATAAAATATCTCCCTGATATTTTGATATAATTTGATATTTCACTAGACACATATACCAGTTTCAACTTCCTACCACTGAATCATCCTCCTTTGTTAACTTATGATGTAAAATTCTTAATTGGTCCCAGAACACAAGGCTAAGTACAGTATGGGGAACCAGTCTGAAAAATGATGGTCCCCAGCCTTTATAAAATCCCCATACTCCTTCCTTACGAAATATTTTTATGAAACAGTCAGGCACATTGCGATACATTGTCCCAAATCCTTGTTGATTAACTGGTTGATTGTACATACGTGTTGACACGACATCAAATGGCGTCATACACGCCACCACAACAAAACCACCACTGATACTAGCTAACAACGAGTTAAACACGCTGTTTTCTTCAAAAAACTGAAATAAACAAAACAAATCCTGCCTTAGTGGTGATCTGACTTAAGAGTAAGTATGTACAAAAATTCTTTATAAATAGAATCTTCTATTTTTCTCAAAATCAAACAAAAACAGCTGATTAATTTAAAAATAAAAATCACTTTTAAAAAAGAAGCTGCAGTCATCTATGATTATAGTGTACTAGGAAACATAATTAAGACTTAAAAGCATATTAAATGACAAAAGTATAAATTTTATGAACTACGGTCGACTCTCGTTAAATCACACTGGCCAGGACCATTGAAAAAGGTCGATCAATTAAAACATATAGACCATAATTATATAAGCCATGTATTTACCTTTTTAAAAACTACAAGAAAAGCTTAGTACTTTTGTTTTGTTTTATTAAAGCTATTATCTGATTATTTTACGAGCTATTCTTTGTGTAAAAAATTTAAACAAGTAACAGATATTTAACTTTCAAGAAGATGTGTATGATAAGCACACAGTGAGAACAACTTGGTAATACACCACTAAAACTTTTACTTTGTGTAGTTTAATTTTAAATTATTATTCAGCATATATTCATTTGAATTTCACATAGGACAAGGTACAAATGTAACATAATTTATTGATCAAGACTTTCTAAATTTGATCCAGATAACAAAAAAATCAAGAAAAGCCATGTCAGAATGATAGGTGACTGTTCCTTAAAGTTTGTTTAATTAGATTTTAAGTCACACCAACACAGTATAGTTCATATGGCGAGATTCCAGCTTTACTGTTGGAGGATGACCTCAGGCGCCCTTCCATGCATTATTTCAGGCACGAACGGGCACCTGAGTAGAACCACTGATGTTTCATAAGCTAGGTGGATAGCTTCCTCATATGAAAGAAACCAAAGTCCCTGTCCGGATTCAAACCCACAGCGGTGTGTGGCACTGTACTTTTAAGTTAAAGGGAAAAGCGATGTTGAGATGAAATATACTTGACAGTACCTTTAAGTTAACAATATATTCTTTAGCAGTGCTGAATGTTGAAAGTTGAGCTGCAGATCCGACCATTACCCTTGACACAGCCGCTGTTGTACCTCGCCATAAACCTTTAATATACAAATATAGTATGTAGTATAAGCATTAAATACAACCAGTATACTATGATAACATCCCACAATCATTTTGTAAATCTTCAATAAAGTCATCCTCACTTGATAAATAGCCTTTAAATCATCACAAAAAGAGATGGTCTCGGTAAGGTAATAGTTTCTGATCCAGAGTCAACCAAGGGATCATAGGTTTGAGCCCATGTCCATGAAGTACACTAGAGGCTAGTTCAAAGAAGCTCTGAGCTTTAAATCACATTTGAGCTGAAATAATTATCTTTTTCACAGTTAAATATATTATATTGTACCTAAAACTCCGTGTTGTTTGAAGATAGCCGTGAATGCTTTCATCATGGAATCATGTGGATGTTGTGTTCCCACAGCAATAGCCTGGTTAGCCCTGGCCTGAAGGTGTGTCTTCACCTGAATACATAGAACTCAACCTGTTGTCATATAACTCTACATGTTGTCATATAACTCTACCTGATGTCATATAACACTACCTGATGTCATATAACACTACCTGATGTCATATAACACTACCTGATGTCATATAACTCTACCTGATGTCATATAACTCTACCTGATGTCATATAACTCTACCTGATGTCATATAACTCTATCTGATGTCATATAACACTACCTGATGTCATATAACTATACCTTCTGTCATATAACTCTACCTGTTGTCATATAACTACCTGCTTTCATATAACTACCTGCTGTCATATAACTACCTACTGTCACACTGTATATACTGTCAAATAACTCTGTTGTTGTTAATCTGATATAACTGTACATACTTTATATAACTCTACCTGCTGCCATATAACTCTACCTGCTGTTGTTACACAAGTCTACATACTGTAATATAACTACACATACTGTGATATAACTATATCTGCTGTCATACAACTATACCTTCTGCCATAAAACTCTAGCTTCTGTCAAATAACTCTACCTGCTGTCGTATAACTCTACTTTCTGTCATATAACTCTACCTGCTGTCATATAACTACCTGCTGTTATATAGCTCTACCTGCTGTCATTCATAACTCTAACTGTTATAATAAAAATACCATTATCAATTGTCATAAACTAACTTTGGGGTAACATTATATAACATACTAAAAATGATAACATATAATATTCATTATGTTTCAGATATCAAACAAATCTTTTCTTCAATTGAATACAAACATTCAATACTCATAAAGTTTACAAAATATCAGCGTTTATTGCACCATTTTACATTTACACTGATGAAAATATTTCTTTATCATTATGTGTTACATATTTTTATTGGGTTTTATTTCACACCAACAAAGTGTGTTATTTCAGGCACAAACTGGCAAATGGGTAGAACTACAAACTTTTCGTAATTTTGTAGTACATGTATATGAGATTACATGTATTCTATATGCGTTATTTCAGGCATAAACGGGCAAATGAGTATAACTATCGATGTTTCGTAATTATGTGGAATATGAGATTATATGCATTCTGTATGCTGAAATATAGTATCTCAAGACAAAATGGTACAGTACAATCTCTGCAAAACAACACCATTTATAAGACAAAGATTTGGGTGGTAACTTAGAATTGTTGCTGTAGAAAGGTTAAGCTTATTGTTGTTATTGTTAAAGGGACTCCACTGAGGCTTTTTGGCATAATGGAACTGGAAATAATTTTTTGAGATTAATGTTACATTCGATGAAGATCTTAACCAATTATTATTTTATAGCTTGTGTGAAAAATTTCAGATCATTTGCTTACTTCTTTTTTCCATAGTGATTACTTTAACTGTGAGACAAGACCCTAAATTTGAAAAGCATTATAATGCTTTTCACTCATATAATGATATAGCACAAAAATACAATTTTCAATCTATTTCTGATTATATTTATCAATTCTGTTTAAAGTGCCCAAGCTGATCTATGTAAAATATTTAAATTTGATTTTTTTAGGCTTTCAGACATCAGTGGAGGTTCTTTTACTTCGGTAAAATCTGGTACCCTTGTTGTGACAAGGTTATTGTTCCGTAAGGGCCACTTTGCAGAGGTTACACTGTACTAGTATTTAGAAAGGTATCATCTGGTTACCATATAGAATGGACTTCCTACAGCTGCACCTAGGCAACCAGAGAATGCTCCTGCCAGCACACTACGAGCCCATTTAACATTCCCATTCTCATCTTTGGTCAGCCCCATGTTAATGATAACTTGATATGTGCCTAGGCGGACCCCATTCATAAACATTTGGTACCATAGGGCTGGTACCAGTCCTTTTTGAAGAGCCAAAACTCCATCTGTCTTACCAATAGTGTAAAAGGCATGGAATGAATTCCTATAATAAAAAAATAAAACAAATGATAATAAAAAGTGATTAGGATTTGTTCTATAAACCAACTTAAAAAAATATGTTTCAACCAATCTAAACTAAACAAGACCTGTCCATGGACAACACATTCCATTTTTCTCAGTGTTTGATAGTTAAAGAAAAGAAAGGTAAAAAAGTGGGCATAACTTTGCAAACATAATTTTCATGATTATCTCCCCTTTTTAAATGGCGTATTTTTTTTTTACTTTAAAATTTGCAAATTTAAGCAATACTTTTTCCCAAAATCAAGAGGGTAAGGCATCTTCGCAATTAAGTGAGAAAAACCACTGTCAACCTTGGTAGACTCGAATTACCAATCTCTCAAACAAAATTTGCCCAGGCCCTTTAAGTGTGAGTCAAAAAATTTAGCTGCATATGATGACAGTTGTCAGTTATAATCCAAGCAAAGAATCCTGAAATCTTTTGTTTATGTTGTTAGTTACAGAAATAGTGACCACAAATTACTTACTTGTAATGAACTGTATACTGTCCTTTCTTCATTAACTCCCCTTGAAGCTGCATTCTTGTTTTAACAACCTGAAAAGAAATATTTTTACTTAGGGCTTTTTATCACAGGCTGGGGAAGCAGCCCTTCTCCTGATATTAGGGGAAAATAATATGTTTTTTTGTTCTTTGGGGTTTTTTTTATAAGAGGAAGTAAAAACCAGATGTCAATTCAAGTTTTGGGGAAACCTGCATGATTTTAAAGAATTTTTCTTTACAGAAGCCACCCTGAAACAGCCCCTGCTATAGAAAGAAAAAAGCCCTTGGGTGAAATGGGATACCCATAATTGTAATGCCAAAGTTTAATTCACAGTATGATGTGTTACAAAACATCATGTACATATAGCATTTTGTCATTTTCCTAATAACCTGTCGGTGGAGGAAATTGTTAACAAAATGGCTTTTTCATTACTACAACATTGTCTGTAGTATTTAATGGCACTAATCAAGAACAAAAATATGGATAAATTTGTGTCACATTTTGGAGAATAACTGTTGTTAAAGTGTCCAATTACTTATATACAGTTTTTTCAAATAGTAAAAAAGAGTACAAATTAAAAGTTTTGTACTGGATTAGAGTTAAGATCCATCTGTAACTTTTACATCAAGTTTTGAAGGGGAAGTGTATCTTAGAAAATATAACTAACTGTATTCATATGTAATGCCGAACCCTTTTAGCATGTATTAGAATAAGATAATATAAGGTACATTGTATTTTTTTTTGATGTGAAACAACAATATGCTATATAGAACAAGCAATAATCATAGTATTGCAAGCAATCCATAAGTCCCCTACCGGTTAGAACCCCATCAACATTCTGAAGGGCCATTGGCCATTCACTAATGTTTCAATTTTTCTCTATTTTAAAAAAATTTGTTGGAAAAGTTCTTTAAAAGTGATCACAGGATACAGTTTTTATGAACAGACAGACAGATGGACTGAAAGACACTCTAAAGTTAATATTTGAAACATCCCTGTCACCAAAATATAACATTTTAAAAGCAAAATGCTTAAAGAGGAGATAACTCTTGAATTAAAGATGCAATTTCATAAAAATGTTCAGCTCTTTTTGACTAATCACAAATATTGTTATATTTGCCATGTTTTAAGCCTATTTGTTGCCAAGGCAACTGATATTTTTTCAAAATAGGAAGAACAGATAAGGCATGCATAATCTCAAGACTGCTATCTACCCATATGTCAAGTTTCATAAAAATATTTCCAGTACTTTTTGAGTTATCACTGGATTCAGTTTATGTGTAAAATTTGCCATATTTTCAGTCTATGTGTTGCCATAGCAACCAGAATTTTCAACATAGGAAGAAAAGAAAAAAAACGTGCATAATTTCAAGACTGCCATCTACCCATATGTCAAGTTTCATAAAAATATTTCCAGTACTTTTTGCGTTATCACTGTATCCAGTTTATGTGTAAAATTTGCCATATTTTCAGCCTATTTGTTGCCATAGCAACCAGAATTTTCAACATAGGAAGAAAAGAAAAAGACGTGCATAATCTCCATACTGCCATCTATCCATATACCAAGTTTCATAAAAATATTTTCAGTACTTTTCAAGTTATTGCGGGATCCAGTTTTGCGGACGGACGGACGGACGTACCAACTTTTGATATTTAAGAGGTAAATCAGCTCATAAACTACACCTGGACCAAAGTCCATAAGCAAAATCAGCTCATAAAATCAAAAAAATAGCTCTTAATTTGAATTTTATGAGCTTTTGTTCTTTATTTAACTACGGAATGAAGCTCATAAATATCAAATGTTTGCTCGGACAGACAGACGGACGGACAGACGGACAGTAAACCTAAAGTCCACTCCGGTAAACCGGTAGGGGACTAATATTGATACTCCAACAGAAATGGATGTCACAGTTCAAAACTGTTCACTATTTAGGGGAAATGATATGTGTAAGCAGCCAGATACATGTAGCTCAGTACACACTATCTCCTCTAAATAGTGAACAGTTCTGAACCGTGACATACTCCCCCGCTATATTGAAATTTAATTTGTCCTCGTATTTCTAACGGGTACATATAGCAATGTGTAATTGGACTCAGAGCTTATACCAACTATGGTTCCACATTGGGCACCAAATGTCAATGGGTGAGAAAAATGTGCAGCCTGACTGAGACTTGAACCCGGCTCTATCAACTGAGCTATCCGGCTGTTTACACATCATCTTCCCTAAATAGTGAACAGTTCTGAACCATGACATGGAGACATGCATAGACTTGAATCACCTCATGAAAACTGGTCTTTCATAATGCCTCAACTGAGTCAAGACGACAAGTCTAAAAAATTACCTCAAGTGGATTGGTGAACATTCCGGCACAACATGCAGCCAAACCACCACACATAAATTCCATCAGGTGAGATTTTTCCATGATGTATTACTGCACACATTAATACCTTAAATAGAAAAACAAAGTAAAATGATCACAAACATAAGTAATATAGATACATATGTGTTATCAGGGCTAACACTGGCTCAAATAAAATAATAGCCAATATTATTAACTTAAAAAATATAATAGCCAAAACTTCAGCAGACTATTCACGATTTAGCAATTAACAACATAAGCAGTTAATTAAATAAACATTACATATAAAACTTTTTCAGTTTTATAAGGATTCTCAAATAAACTGATACATTAGTGTTTATTGATATTGATAGAACCACAACCACAACTTTAATTGTTATTACATGTATAGAACAGAATAAACATGTTATATAGTATTATAAATTACTGTATAACAATTATTATAACGCGCTTTTGCATGGGATCTGCAATCCAAATATAAAAATCCTAAATCCAAATAATTTTTAAATAACAACTTTATTACTGGTATATCACTATAATAGTCAGATGGTGAATGTTGACCATGATTGTGTGTGTGTTTGGGTTTGTTTACCCTCGCCACCGGAAAGAGACCATATGGGCGAGCATATACTTCATTTATAACCTTTTAAAAAAGGGGGAGCTGATGTTTAATTACTTATTGTTATATCCGTACATGTGTTTATGTGCATACCATATCCCCCATGACAGGGTAGTCTCTACGTACAACCTCTGCCATGGGAGGAAGATGGGGCAATCCCATACTAAGATTAAGAATTCTAAAATTAAATTATTAAAAAGCACTTATTTTAAAATTGGCCAAGACGTTTATAGAAGTTACCGTCTTTTATAACAGGTCTATCTAATATTTAGTATAACTAAAAAATTTTAAAATATTACCTATATTGTAGAGTTCGCATACTTGCGAAGAAGGCATGTCAGGAACGTTTTCTGACCAATTCATTGTGGACTGCTGTTATTTATGTTGGTTTCTATTTAAATGTTATAAACCGTATACATTGGGATGCATATAATTAATTACATGTTTGTAATTAGCACAGTTTGTTTTAAATTTTGTAATTTTTGTAAGTTCTACCGAACACCCGCTTTATAAAGTTAATTTTGATTGGTTTAGAGAGGATTGCCTCCTTTGTTCTCATTGGCCGAAAATTCTCTGTTTACAAAATAAGGAGGTCAATCCGGTTTTGTGATAATTTGCAAATTTTCTTAATTTTCGGATTGACCTATATCGACAAGTTTGTCGCGCGAACGTGATAGAGATTTAGCAGGTGCCCGTTGCATCCAATGTATACGTGTTTTTACCAACTTTATTTCAAAATTAAAACAAATATGAAAGTTAAAATGTGGTGGAAACGGCCTTATCTATTTATCACTGTCTCATGGTCTATAAATTATTATGCATCTAGATATCACACATAATAATTAATCTTCTATTACTTAAACAATTCATAGAAGAATAAGAAAAAATCTAAGTCCCAAATATGGCTAATAATAATAACTTGGTTACCCATAATGTGATGAGATAGTCTTTATGTAACATATTTAAGAAAATCTCATGCTTGAGTGAACCCGTGATAAACGTATTGCTCCATATGGGGGCACGGGTTCACGTTTACTAGTATTAAGGATACTAGTTTATATATACAGGAATAAAAAAAGATAGATAATAAATAACACGGGGCGGGGGGCAAAGGGATATATACAATATGGAGTCTTTTTTGACATTATGGGTAATCTGTAGCCAGCACCTCCCAATTTTGATAAGTTGATCATGAAAAGCTCTGGGTGTCTTATATACATAATCTGCGATTTAGTGCTCAAAAGCCGTGAAATACGAGCAGGATATCTTGTCACTCAAATTTGAAAGCATATATTATCAGTTATCACCTTTGTATTTGATCTTTTCTGGCATGCCCATAAACTTTATTTTTATTTACTTATCACCTCAGGCTTCCTGTACAGGATTTATTTCTTACTAATGTTGGCCAAGAGCTTTTAAGATCAATTATCACCAATCAGTGTCACCTTAGAGTAACACTGACAAGTTGTAATGTAAATTAATGTAAATTGTTATCTTGATTTTATAATTCTTATAATAATAATTTGGAATTGCAGTGGAAAATCTAAACATTTGAATAGTGAAAAAAATATAATTATCTGTACTTTTATGAATTAATATTAATTAGACCAGTATAATATAATTATCTGTACTTTTAAGAATTAATGTAAATTAGACCAGTATCTAATACAAGTAACTAAAAAGCAGTTGAAATGATAAAAACACAAATACAATGTTTCATTTAAAACAGTCGTCTGAAGTGAAGTTGTAAACAATTACATAATATACATTTTTAAACAATTACATGATATACATGAGAAACGAAATGCATATTACATCCAGAAAAATAAACATTATAATACAATAATATTAAAGATTCATTATAACTTCACATAATGCTGTTATCAGACAATTTCTTTTGTTTGTTCTAATCAAGTTTTGTCAGCTATAACCACTGTCAATTTCCACATTTCACAGAATGCAGCCTTTTTTCTGAATAACTTACTGAAAAATGTCATCATCACCAATGTAATACAAATTTTCTGCCATAATAGTAAAGATTTTTAAACAGAACATAGCTTATTTTCACCTTTAAATAAATATCAAAATTATCGGTGTCGCGAAAATATGTGACAATCGGATTTTTTCTGTTTTCTGAAGAAATATTCACAATTTTGGTTGTTGTGGAAATAGTTGTCTGGAAGTTAATACTTTTTTAAATATTTTATCATTGTTTTCCACTGGTGATTTAGTCAAGCAGCTTAAAACAAACAAAAAATTCAAAATTTGCCATAACTGCAATTTACGGTAAATTTTGGGTAATGGTCAATATCCAGTTTATCAATTTTAAGACAATTTTTGTGGCTAATTGACAGATATTTGATGGCTATCATAATGTTAGACAATATCTTTAAACAGAGACATAGATAACATCTATGTCTCTGCTTTAAAGTACTTATACAATTTTACATCTCACATGTATTGATTTTTTATCACCTGCATGCATTTTCATCACCTCGGGCAATATTATAGTAAGCAACATGTGACCGATAAAAAGTTGACACTCAATTAAATCTACCCCGCTGGTGTTAATTGGGTCTACTGCATTCTTTATCGATTTTTATACCTGATATAAACACTGTTGGAAGTAAAAAATAATCGTCAGATTTTATAGCCAAAATGCAAAAATAATCGCCAATCTTATAAAATAAACGCAAATCTTATAAAATAATCACAAATGGCTGACAGACAGCACGAGCCCTGGTTATGTACATAAATATCTTTTTAAAAGGGTTTATAGATATTGTATTGTAGTAACAACATATATGCTTATACACAACACTGCCCAGACTGTAGTTATAGAATAAAATCTTTCCTTGCTTTATACATATGCACTAATATTATTTCAGTACCTCCTGCATGTGTAAGAAGAGTGGTGTATGGGATGGAGCATCAGACTTCTTATCTGAATGTCAACTCATGGGTTCGAATCCAGGTACTGGTAAGATTTACTTTTCTACGCATATATAGAAAGTAAAAATAAAACATTGACAATTGTAGCTCATATTATATGTACTATCATGGTTTTAATGACAGCCGTAGTACTAAAATTAAAACTACTTATGAGTTAAGATTTCAAAGCAAATAAAAATTATCCGAAAAAAGACCTTACCCGAAAGCTACAACACTTTTTATCACTCTAATAACTGTCACGTGTTTAACAATTCTCCGTTTACTACTATCAAGCGGCATGAAATTGTTATGAAATAAATCATAAACGAATTTCAATGTATTTTTATCACTTCATTAAATACACTAACTTGATATTGAAGGTTAAAAAGTTCCACTGTAGACGATATTGGATCGATAATTCTCGCCTATTTAGCCGTACTTTTTTCGGTATAAATGGATACCGAAAATAAGTTATTTTCGCGAAAATAAGATCGCGGCTACGAAAATAAGATTCACTTTGAAATAGTGCATTTATCTGTTGAAATATGTAAAATATATATCTATGCATTCATTGAATGATTTTACAGCAAATTAAAATTTCAGAACCAAAAAAAATATTTTAAAAAGTGAAGTTTGAGCCGAAAATACGATCGTACGAAAAAAGCTTAAAGCGAAAATAAGTTCGGGTTTACGAAAATAAGATTTATACGGAAAAAAAGCAAATTGAATTTTTGTGTTATAATATTATATTTAAAAGCTGCCAGTCAAAGCACATCTGTTTTTAAATTATCATTTTTTTTGCGAAAATAAGATAAATCAACCTGAAACGTTAAGTGAGTTCTTGAAAGTAAAAACTGACACAAATCTTAGGTGTAAGTAGTAGTATACGTACGTAATTTAATTAGTAAAACGCTGCCCGGCCAGGTGATCGCGTTACACAGATTTTAATGTAATTGTTGCTGAAGTTATCAGTACAGTACTGTTATAAGTGTCACAGGGTATAATTAATAATGAACTCCTGGCGTAGGTTCGTCAATTTAATATATAATACGAAGATAAAGCCTAAAAACATAAATACATGATTATAATACAAGTTAATTAAAACATACATAAAATACAACAATACAACAATTGAACGATGTAAATAAGAATTATTTCAAGTAAATGAATCAAATGAAAATAATCTTACCACAGCGTCTCAATAAATAACTTAATAATAAGTTATTTCCAGAAATTCTATTAAATAAACTTAAAGAATTTATGTACTTAGTAGAATAGTATATCTTAACTCGTAAGAGAATAAAGACGAAGTGAAGTGAAGAAGGAAAGTTCGCGGGAATTTGGAAGAAAGGAAATGTTAAAACCAATCTAAAACTTTCTCTCAAAACTCTTTCATACAACGTACAAAACGATTGGACATACAAAAACAGTTCACAAAATTGCACGAGATACAGACATAGTTGAATTGTTTCGGCTGTTTCCGTGAATTTCCGCTAATAAGCGTACATTACGGACCCATCCGATACAATACAATAGCAGACGATAACAGACGCCACGGAGACAAACGATAATCGACGCATGCGCGGACATTAAGAATACTTTTCCCGCGACTAAATGACGAACAGTGCACGGCAAAATGAACAATTAACATAATAAATAAAACGACCCGTGACATTCTCCCCTGCTAGGAGAAAATGGCTCCTGACATTTTATTAACCTATATAATAGCTGTCTCAAAACTGCCGTACCCATAAAATTAAAAACAGAACAAAATTTGTTTTGCATTATAAAATCAGAACTGCATTTGAAAATAACATGTTTCTATTACATCTGAAACATAATATGAATTTATAGAAAAATTTCTGCTTTCAAACACAATGCTGAAATAAAAATAAGTTTTATCATCTGAAACATTGCTTATCAATTTAAAGGTACTGGTTCAGCTGGCAACTAAAGGTATGTAACTGCTTCAGCTTAAAAATAAAGGTATATACCCATAATAATTTATTTAAAGGCTCAATATTGCTGAAAATAAAGGAATATGCTCAAATTAACTGAATTTAAAGGTCTGAACTCAGTTTAACTGAAATTAAAGGTATAAACCCAAAATAGCTGAAATATAATGATATTCGAAATAAATGCGAAAATACATATATATCTCTGGTTCAACTGATTATAAGGTAGAGTTTTAACTATACCTGCAGGAATAAAAGTATCTTAATAGATTACTTTAAAAGAGAGCTAAAAACAAAACACTTTAGTGATAATACATAATCAACACTAATAAATGTTTACACATTTAAATTGAGTAAATTTATTCAGAATAAATGTTAATTTAAGCTGAGTTGACCAATTAAATTGTCTTTCACACAGAGAATAGAAAATCTGCAAGTCTCTTTACTATTTTTTATCAATGCTAATATATTTTCTTATTAACTGTTGCAAATAATTTAATTATCTAATATAGTATACATCACATACACGCTGGGACATCTGTTATCTTATGTCCCAGATACACGCGAAGAAACTTTTAAGTCAATAAGACTTAGTGTGCTTGCAGAAAAATGCCAATTTTGTTTTTGATTTTTCAGTCGACAAATTTTGTTTGATGTTCAGCATCAATAACTTTTTTTATAATAAATGTTTAAAATGTATTTTCTGCATATTCGAACTTTTGAAATATACATTTCGTTTGCTGAAGTGGAAGATACAAAATCAGCTAAATTGCACGTGAAAAATGCTTTTTTTTACAAAAGAAACAAAAACACGTGTAAATACATGTACATGTATCCATGTATAGAGCACCGGCCCGAAAAAAAAACGACGTTGCCTCGCAGAACTCTCGAGGACATATACTCGTTGGGCGAGAGTGTTGAGCCTTATATTGCTGTAAAGAGGAATTTCAAACTAACGCAAGAAAATCATATAAATGATGTTTAAACTGTATGCACCAGAAAATTGTGTTATTTTTACGAACTTTTTTACACTTTATAAATGAAAAGAACAAATCGGCCATATTATGCCTTAATTATTCCTTTGATTGTGCTTTGTACGAATTGCTGTCAAGAAGGACCTCCAAACTTATGCAATTGCTAATCCGCGACGGAATCACACAACTTGAGTTTGAACGGTTTGCACCAGAAAATAGGAGAAGGGGGGGGGGGGGGGGTAAGACATTTTTTTACACTTAATATACAGAAAGAACAAATCGCTGGTAAAAAAATCAATATATTGTTTGTTTGCTCTTTGTTTTTTTTCCAAATGCGCTAGAGAGCATATTACAAGGATTTTCATATACGTATAGAAAGAATAACAAATCCGAATGCTGCTCAAAGGTGTCGTTTTTTCCAATCTTTATACATGCAAACCGACCACAAAACTTATAATTATGGTAAAAAGGTCTATAAACCGCATAATAATAAAAAGATGCACAAAGTCTGCTTTAAATATCATTATTTAACCAGTAAATAAGCAATATTTATCTCATTTATATCAGTCTAGAAAGATGAGTGTACACAAAAAAAACTATGTGTATAAAGACTTTGCAAACTCCCCCACCCCAACAACCCTGAAGAAGGATAAAGTTCAAAAATCTAGATAAAGTGTGATCCCTCGGAAGCACCAATCAAACGTAATATTCGCTATTCAATAAATTTGGTCGGAATGTGTTAATACATCTTTCCATTACTGGACCATTTCGCTTTAAACAGAGAACTGTTTAAATGCTTTTTTCATTGAACACTGTAGTAAAAGCCAATCGGTGAATGATCCGATCACACAAGTTGTTGACATAGACCTACACCTAATGGTCATGAAACCTTATAAAATAATGTAATAAAGGTCTCTTAAATAGTGTTAGAATCGAAAAAAATATTCAAAGTTCCGCCATGGCAAAATAATAAAATTGAAATAAATACAAAATATAAAAAAAAGATAACAAAAAAACCTAACAGTAATGTACATACATGTACGTTTTCTATACGCCGACGCATTTGACGTGTATACTGAAAACGTGCAACATGAAGTGAACAACAACACGACGTTATACATGTTATGTCACGCATGACTTGGGATTAAGGTCATATATTATTGTTTTTTATCACAATGTATCAACAATATAATTACAGTAAGAGGATTTTTTATATAAATTTTAGCTGTCATCTCATTTCATAAACACGCATACTATCCTTGTTGTTAATACAAAAATAGGAAATGCTGAACTTGTGTTTAAAATCACAGAAAGTTCAATAAAGAAAAAAAACTGAATCAGTACTGACGTAGCAATATACGTACTTTATATAGGTAAGAGAGTTTATACGTACAGTTCATTATATTTAATTTGTTGTTGTTGTTTGCTTCGGTCGTAGATATACATTTTTGTATTTTAAACAATATTTTTGTATCACGTTCGTTTTTAAATAAGAGACACGTTTGACATATCAAATATTGTGATTGCAATTTTATTATATACTCGATCAAAGCTAGTAAGATTGACGTTTTAAAGATGTCTCGACATCCTGTATGAAAACCTTGATACAAAACATACATTTTTACTTGTATTCAATAAACAGTGACAGCGGCGATACAACTTAAAAATAACGTTGGAGAATGAGATTAAAATTAATTTCCAAGATTTTCTGTAAGTTTAAAGCATCCGTGTATATATTTATTTTTTATGTTTGTTTGTCGATTTTAACACATCATTTAGTTACATCTCGGTGGTAGATCCACCTTACCGGCTGTCTTGGATAACTGATCAGTAATTACTAATTTCTCCTCAACTTTTCAACAACAAATTCCATATGATATCTGAATCCGCGGTTAGAGACAAATGACCATAAGTATTATTGTTCGAGATCAATTGTCACGGAGAAATCTTGCCTCGCTCGAGGTTCGAACCCCCGAGGATCAAACCATGCAGCGACCCCTAAATTACTAATCCGATGCTCTCTACAATGAACAAGCACGAACTAGAAATTGTTTTTTTAATATAAATTTCTAAGCCTCAACCATATCAAATCCATATTGTACTGTAAGTATCAAAACTCAGTCAAATTGTAATGAATTGGTGGTCACAGATGTGATATTAAGAAGTCATTTAACGATGCAAAGCGGATAGGATTTTGTCCAATAAAGACTTTAATTACAGTTGTGTACTCGTCCAACGTAATTCAGTATTGTACTCAACAATGTATGGTAATCTAATTAAAAATATATTTCAGCTGACAAATACACGATTATAATGCACACAAGGATCAAACTTAGGTGTCTTGTGGTGACGGCGATTATTTCAATCCTAATACTGTGCCGAGGTAAATAAATTTTATACTTCTTGTCTATTTGTTTCTTTGGGCACCCATCCGTAAAACATCGACTTTTCCCGTATAATTCGGAAAAGAGATATACGAAAGATTAAAGCAGAGGACGTCAGATTGCTTGAGCTCCGATCGGAGCACCTTGACGATTATTCATTATCATGAACTGAAGATTGACGGAAAAGGCCGAAAAGTCCCGAGTGGTGTTCAATTATTTTTAGTACAAACTAAATATAATATTCTTGAAAAGCTTTTTAAACTTGATTTTCATTGTCTTGATCATGCAAAGGAACATACAGTAATATAGGTCAAAGAGGATTTGAACATGCGATTCATACGCCAATTAAGAGATTAAACTATAGACATCTATCCGAACCCTTATTTAATTTGATTTGTAATAAACTCATTTCATTTATGCGAAGTTTTAAAGTGAAAAAGAAAAAATCTCTAACATAAGAACATTTCTCTAACATATATTGATAAATGTTATGTTTCAATTTTTCAAGGTTTAATCTACGATTATACTGTATGGACTGGCGATTCTACTGTCGGACAGAAAGATAAGGTACACGTCTCTTTATAAAATTATATCTAATGCAATTCGCAATTATTCGTAATGGTTACCATAGTTTGATGGCAAGGGTTGAAAACTTATGGAGCAATGAAAGTAGTTCTACCACGTGACTACAGATGCAAACATGTGATCTTTGTATAATGAATATCGAATGTATATACATGTATTTGGCATCCAAAGACAAAGTCTAATTCGGTAAAGCTATGATTGAAAAATATGTATGACAATCAGAATCAAGATTATAAAGAAATTAAAAACAACTAAATGGAGAAAGATGAGCGACATACTGTATCTGTTTTTAAACGTTATTAACGTTTAACTAGCTTTGTTGCTGATATACTTATGTTTACTCGCACGGTTTGTAATATAAAACTATTTGAACAAATATTTAAATAAGCGCTATCGAAGCCATTTCATGAGAAAAAAGTCAGACATTTCCAACATTACTCTCACTGGACGTAAACTTACGTAGAAGACTATACTGTTTTAATAATCTGTAATCTTAAAGAATGTGCTTGTATTTGTTTTCAGGTTTCTCAACAACAATATGATAGCAATCATCTTCGACATTTCATCAAACAAGATGGTAATATAAGCTTTAGTGATTATAACAAAGGCCTTTTCAAGGATAGCATTAAACATGATGTGAATGCAAACACATTGCATCATGGCACTTTTAACAAATATAAACAATACAACGCAGAGAGAAACATGTTTGCGGAAACTGTTACACAAAATAACAATACTAGTAATGTTAGAAGTATTGATAAACAATATAAAAATACTGCTTTTGTAAAAGAAAAGAACCATATTGACATCGGTAAACAAAACAAGGATTTTAATATTGTGAAATATATTGTAAATCAAAATAGGAACACTAGCGTGGTCGAACAATACAGCAATAGCAAAATTGTAAATCAAAATAGGAACACTGGCGTTGGCGAACAAAACAGCAAAAACAACATTGGAAATAAAAACAGGAACAATGGCGTTGGTGAACAAAACAGCAAGAGCAACATTGTAAATCAAAACAGGAACAATGGCGTTGGTGAACAAAACAGCAAGAGCAACATTGTAAATCAAAACAGGAACAATGGCGTTGGTGAACAAAACAGCAAGAGCAACATTGTAAATCAAAACAGGAACACTGGCGTTGGTGAACAAAACAGCAAGAGCAACATTGTAAATCAAAATAGGAACACTGGCGTTGGTGAACAATACAGCAAGAGCAACATTGGAAATCAAAACAGGAACACTGGCGTTGGCGAACAATACAGCAATAGCAACATTGTAAATCAAAATAGGAACACTGGGGTTGGCGAACAATACAGCAATAACAACATTGTAAATCAAAACAGGAACAATGGCGTTGGCGAACAAAACAGCAAGAGCAACATTGTAAATCAAAACAGGAACACTGGCGTTGGCGAACAATACATCGATAGAAACATTGTAAAACAAAGCAAGAATACTAGCATCGGCACAAAATACAGCGATACGAACAATATTAAACAAAACATGACGCCTGGTTTTAGTGAACAATATAGACGTATGGGCATTGATCAAGAAAGCAAACATGGCAATGTCAAGCAAAATGATGATAGAGGCATAGTCAAACTTAACAGTAACTTAGGTATTCCCAAGTCATATCGGAATAGTAATGTTGACAAACAATACAGTAATGGTTTAATTGAAAAACCAATAAGTTTCAAATTAATAGAGAAAATAGACAAGGATTATACAATACAAAAAGTTAGAGCAACTAGTGCAACAAAACTCTTCCTAAAGTCTGGCAACGAAAAGGATAAAGGAAACAGAGTTATAAAGAAACATGGTACACAACTAGCAAAAGAAGTAAATCGCGCATGTGTATTAGAGAAAGGAATAACAAATGAACCAATCTTACTGCATTTTATTCACGATGAAAAAAGATTATATTGTCCAGTTGAAAAAATTGGAACAACATTTTGGAGGAGAATAATTTACACATTTTCAAACAAAAATCCAATGTACAAATTTCCATTTGATGTTCCTGAAGAATTCGTACATGTAGAAGTCAAGAGAGATTTTTCAACAAAAGCCTCTTCTGTACTCCCAAACACTACCTTTTCATTTCTTTTTGTTAGAAATCCCTTTTCCCGCATGTTGTCTGCATTTATTGATAAAATTGTTGCCCCAAATCCATATTACTGGCGAGAATTTGGAAACACTGCTATAAAACGATATCGTCAGAGAGCGAGTGGCAGCTACTTAGATGGACATAGTATAACATTCTCAGAGTTCGTTAAACTTGTTATTGACATGGAATCAACAAATATGTACAGTGATCCACACGCGAAGAGCATAGATAGTAGCTGTAACCCATGTCTCCTTAACTACTCTTTCATCGGCAGGATGGAAACATTTAAAGACGATGCCTTATACATTTTGAAAACACTCAATGCCAAACAAGATATTGTTAAGTCCATTGAAAAACAGTGGGAAGAATTATCAATAGAAGCCGCAATAAAATTTAACATTGAATATTGCTTTGAAACCAAGAAAGAAATCATGAACTATATAACTTGGGAAAAGGCTTTACAAAGACTTTGGCTTCATCTGCAAATGCGAGGTTTAATATCTAAAAATAAAATACTTCACCATCCAGTGAAACATATAAATACACTGACTGCGAGGGAGTTTGTTGACTTAGCTGTTGAAGCAAATAAAGCGTCCAGTAAAGAAGAAACGAAGCTTCAAAAGCTGGCAGTTCAGCGTGAAGCATTTGCTAGTGTAGACATATCTATTTTAGAAAAGTTTGTAAGTGTTTTTAGAAAAGACTTTCAGTTGTTTGGATATGATCCGCACCCTTCAATTATATTTCAACGTGAAAATTTAAAAATAACACCAAAGTTTTTCAACTATACCCATCTCAATTGAATAAAACAAACGGATTCAGCTGCAACTTATACAGGTGAACGTTTCATATTTCTGGAGAAAAATAAAAATTTGGAGAAGTTTCGGGTAGAAAACCTCTTTGATAATTACTCTGTAAGCAATCGTGTCTGGTATTATTAAAGTTCTTGTAAACTGTATTTTGAGTTTTCATATACATGCTCGTTGTAATAATGTTGTTTTCAGTGTTTCTTAGAGATCACCCTTTTCTCAGATTTTTATACAACGGCAAGTGTCATGAGCAGTGTGGCAAAAAGTTGCCCCGTACTTTAATTCAGTGTTGTTTCATTTTCGAGTGTTTGTTTCCGGATTTTTATACTTCACAACAGCAGGTGTCAAGTACTGTGTGGCAGCTGTAAAAAGTTGCCCCGTATTTCACTTCAGTGTTGTTATATTTTTCTGGTCCTTCGGGATCATTGATGCCAGCACTATTAAGTGTTGAGAATTGAGTACCGCTCAAGCCGGTGCTAGGGGGCGTGAGGGATGTTGCACGTATTCATTATCCCTCATGTACAGACTCAATCAAACCGAGTCTGCAATTCTCTTATAATTTTGTGGTGATTAATGCTTCCGAGGGATCACTTTGTTTCCGGATTTTTATGATTACAGCGCGTTAGTTTTGAAGATTGAGTACCGCCTAAGCCGGTTCCTTGGTGCGTTAGAGATGTTCTCACATGAACAGACACAACCAAACCGAGTTTGCAATTTTCATATAATTTTGTTCTTTCGATCCTTCCAAGGGATCAACCTCTTCCTCATTTCTGATAACACGGAGATTTCCATCCTTTATGATCAAAATATAAATTATATTGTCAAGTTGATTTTAAAATTGGAGTGCCCTGTTCTCTTTTCTTCGGTTTTGGCTGCTAAATATAATCAAAGATGTTATATTTCCGATCATTGAAGATCGTTCAACACGACACTATTGTTGTGACTACTTTTAGTTCTTTCTAAATTGGTGATTTTCTAGTGGGTGGTTTCAATATCCCTCACTTAAATACTGTTTAACCACACTTAGGATATGTTACCTGCTTTTTCATTTTGTCTTTTGACAGCTCATCTGTGACATGCAGGTTTCGTCCGCGGATGTGTCTAATTTCAAAATGTCATCATTTTCTTGTGTAAATGTTGAATTCTACCGGTGCTAGGGGGCGTGGACGGTAATTATGCCCCCACTTCAAAGAAGAGGGGGGTATATTGCTTTGCATTTGTCGGTCCGTCGGTCCGTAGACCAAATGGTTTCCGAGTAATAACTAAAGAACCCTTAGGCCTAGGAACTTCAAACTTGGTATGGTGATTGGTCATGACCATTAGATGACCCCTATTGATTTTGGGGTCAAGAGTTAAAGGTCAAGGTCACATTGACCTTGTAAGTAAAGACGGTTTCCGATCAATAACTAAAGAAAGCTTAGACCTAGGTACTTCAAACTTGGTATGGTGATTGGTCATGACCAGCAGATGACCCCTATTGATTTTGGGGTCAAGAGGTCAAAGGTCAAGGTCACATTGACCTTGTAAGTAAAAACGGCTTCTGATCAATAACTAAAGAACGCTTAGGCTTAGGAACTTCAAACTTGGTATGGTGATTGGTCATGACCAGCAGATGATCCCTATTGATTTTGGGGTCAAGGGGTCAAAGGTCAAGGTCACATTGACCTTGTAGGTAAAAACAGTTTCCGATCAATAACTTGAGAAGACTTAGGCCTAGGAACTTCAACATTGGTATGGTAATTGGTCATGACCAGCAGATGACCCCTATTGATTTTGGGGTCAAGGGGTCAAAGGTCAAGGTCACATTGACCTTGTAAGCAAAAACGGTTTCCGATCAATAACTAAAGAACGCTTTGGCCTAGGAACTTCAAATTTGGTATGATGATTGGTCATGACCAGCAGATGACCCCTATTGATTTTGGGGTTACGGGGTCAAAGGTCAAGGTCACATTGACCTTGTAAGCAAAAACGGTTTCCGATCAATCACTAAAGAACGTTTAGGCCTGGGAACTTCAAACTTGGTATGATGATTGGTCATGACCAGCAGATGACCCCTATTAATTTTGGAGTCAAGGGGTCAAAGGTCAAGGTCACATTGACCTTGTGCGTAAAAACGGTTTCCGATCAATAACTTGAGAAGGCTTAGGTCTAGGAACTTCAAACTTGGTATGATGATTGTTCATGACCAGCAGATGAACCCTATTGCTTTTAGGGTCAAGGGGTCAAAGGTCACATTGACCTTATAAGTAAAAAAGGTTTCCGATCAATAACTAAAGAATGCTTTGGCCTGGGAACTTCAAACTTGGTATGATGATTGGTCATGACCAGCAGATGACCCCTATTGATTTTGGAGTCAAGGGGTCAAAGGTCAAGGTCACATTGACCTTGTAGGTAAAAACGGTTTCCGATCAATAACTTGAGAAGGCTTAGGTCTAGGAACTTCAAACTTGGTATGATGATTGGTCATGTCCAGCAGGTGACCCTTATTGATTTTGGGGTCAAGGGGTCAAATGTCAAGGTTACATTGACCTTGTATGTAATAACGGTTTCCGATCAATAACTTTATCACGCTTAGGCATAGGAACTTCAAACTGGGTATGATGATTGTACATGACCAGCAGATGAACCCTATTGCTTTTAGGGTCAAGGGGTCAAAGGTCACATTGACCTTATAAGTAAAAAAGGTTTCCGATCAATAACTAAAGAATGCTTTGGCCTGGGAACTTCAAACTTGGTATGATGATTGGTCATGACCAGCAGATGACCCCTATTGATTTTGGGGTCAAGGGGTCAAAGGTCACATTGAAGTTAAAAACGGTTTCTACTCAATACCTAAAGGACGCTTAGGCCTAGGAACTTCAAACTTGGTATGATGATTGTTCATGACAAGCAGATGTACCCTATTGATTTTGGGGTCAAGGGGTCACATTGACCTTGTCAGTAAAAACAGTTTCTGCACAATAAATGAAGAAGGCTTAGTCCTAGGAACTTCAAACTTTATATGATGATTGGTAATGACCAGTAGATAACCCCAATTGATTTTGGGGTTACGGGGTCAGTGTCATATTGACCTTGTACTTAAAGAAGGTTTCTGACCAATAACTCTACAACTTAAGTTGCCTTGGTTGATTTTTTTTGTATTAAACTAAAAATGCTTTTGGTATACATGTACACATTTGAAGGTCTTATGTAATATAACAACTTCGCTGTCATTAATGAGGCCTACATGATTCATAAAATGTATGCATATATTATTTGGTAAGATTTGTAATATAAAAAACTTAAATTGCTGCACACAACCTATGGGGTCACAATAATTATTACCTTGTGACTAGTCATGACCAGTAGATAACCCTTATTAATTCTTTGTTCACTGGGTCAGAAGTCATGCATAATAACCTGGTCACATGAATAATTATTGGCTGGTGATAGGGGGCATACATGTTTTACAAACATATCTTGTTTGTATTTTCCATTACTGTCCATGAACAGGCTCAATCAAACCGAGCCTGCGACATTTTCAATTTTGTTGTGTTTGGGCTTTCTTTAGGGACTCTGTTTTTTCTCGATTTCATAACCTATGATTCCGTTTCAAAATTACATTTTATTTAGTTTCACCCATTGTTTTCTAACACGCGCATTTTTTACTTGGGGACCACATGTCGTTTTCGTGGAATGACACTAACGTATAACATTGAAGGTTCCGTCATATGAACATATCTGTGCATGTTTCTACATTCAAAATTTTACAACTTCATGTTAAATGTTCAGTTCTGCATCAGCCGGTGCAAGGTGACGTGGACGGTAGCTCCATGAAGTCAATGAACAGGCTCAATCAAACCGAGCCTGCCACATTTTCATTTTTTGGCTTTCTTAAGGGATTCTGTTTTCCTCTATTTTTGGGCCTTCTTCTAAATAACGTGTTGGGCGCATTGCCGATGTGACTGTTTTATGTTGAGTCTGAGTTTTGTGAGCGTTGCCTTGCCTTGGTTACCTTTCTAGTCCTTTTTGTTCCCTTTTTTATGAATTATTCATTTATTCGGGATGAATTGCAGAAAATTATCTTTGCAAAAATGGTATTCCATTTTGATGCCAGTAAGGCAGAGTAATTGTGCGGGTTTTTTTTCTCGACAACGGTAGAATATTAATACGCCGTTACATTTTCTCTGCTGGAGTCAATTAAGGTAATATATTAAGTCCTTGATTGTTTCTTTTTTAAAAACTTTATTTTCCTTTTCGGTTTTAATTGACAGCAAAACAGTGCTTACATTTTTTATATATAGAATAGAGATCCAATGTGATATATTTCTTGCACAAGCAGAGATAATTTTGTTTGTTTGTTTCGTTGGCTTTAAAGTCACACTGTCACACTGACACTGTTAAGGGCCGTGCATTATCTCAGGTACATGCAGACACCTGATTAGAACTACCGACGTTCCGTAAGCTAGCTGGATAACTTCCTAACATGAAAGAATCAAAGTCCCTTGCTGGATTCGAACCTACACCAGTGCGAGGGTAAGTGGTTCAAATTAAATGTGGGGGAGAATACTTCTTTTTATCATGATCTCTTTCATTAGCTTAAAACTCCGCTATACACTGCCGATTTTATTAGAATATCGGGTCTAAGGATTGAATAATTATGAATAATTGATAACTCAAAATAGAACCACATAAGACAGAAGTAAGACAATTTCCAATAAATTTACAATTCTAAGAATTAAATTCACATTAAATGCAAACTTTAGTTAATATCCAAAATAGATAATTGTGTATCACAAAACAACCTTTATCAGAACTATGCTCATAAGTAATTTACAACATTTTTAAAGCAAAATGGATTTACGCCAAATGACACGTGACGTATATATAAATATTTGAAAATCATTAAATGAAATCACGTGGAAATTATTGATGAATCAACTAAAATATAAGTTTATAATGAAGTAGTTAAGGAACTTTATTTTACCAGCGCAATCTTTAACAATAACAATATCCTGGACTAAAATTACAATAAAACAAAAAAATCATTGTTCGCGATCTTTGCGACATTCCCAACAAGAAATGAAAGAATAGTTTCAAATAAAACCTATTTAAAGTATTGGCTATAAACCATCATCATTTATCTAATATCTTTAGAAA